CACGTCGGGCTCGGGGCCCGCACCCCTGTACCCGCCCTGGACACCCCCCCGCTGTGCCCAGCTGTTACAGAGCAGCCTTTGTAGAGCCAGGCAGGGAGCGGGCGCAGGTCTGGGGGCTGCCCCCAAAGCAGCAGTTGGTGCAAAGTTTCCAGCTTTTCATAGTTGGTTGTTTGTTCTGTTGTGGAAGGAAAGCAGAACGTTTCTGGGGTGTTTTGTTAAACAGCCCGCACAGGAAGGAGCCCCACAAGTCCCAGGGCTATGCTGAGGTAGCAGCTCTGGGGGGGGGGGGGGGGGGGGTTTTCCAGGGCATACATCCACTTGTCTAGATAGTTGCCTCCTTTTACAACAAACTACATAAAAAGCACCAGCAAAGTCGGCACAAACTAAAACGTCACATCATGACTAAAGGTTAGTACAATATTTATATGAGCATGGTGAAAATCAGAAATTTGTTTATACTCATGTGCTGGGATGTTTTTGTATCTTGGTCTGATTTTTGAAAGCAAGTAGTTCTTAAGTGAGCTGTAACTTGGGGGTACACAAAACAAACCAGACTCCTGAAAGGGCTACAGCGGTCTGGAAAGGTGGAGAGCCACTGGGTTAATGGACACCCTGGGTCTGTGGGTGACCCTAGCTGAACTCCCCATTCTGTCAGGTCTCAGGGCCACTGCACCCTTCTCTCACCTGACTAGGAATTCTATTATGGACCTTAGAAACACTGCACAGCCAGCATTTTGACAGAGTGGATATATCTCCATGTAATGTTTCAGTTTCAACAAAATAGCATTTGCCATTGAATACATATTTTAGTCAAATATTTTTGACCAGCTGTGATCATTTTAGCTGCATAAAAAATAGAGCACCAACCCATCCCTGTTAGTGATTGAATCTTAGGTTACAGTAAATCTCAGCTGTCCTGCATAGACCTCAAAATCCTCCCCCGGCTCTGTTGCTCATCGGGAGGCTTCCAGGTTTGGCCTTCTCCTGCAGGGGAAGGCAATGATCATTTGCCGCTGGGCACCTTTCAAGAGATGACTCTAAGCCAGGGGAACTGTTCCAGTGACTTGTTGAAACAAAAGGCTTGAAGGACTCTGTGGTTTTAATAGTTTAACAGCAGCCTTTTATGAAGACATAAATATTAGCTGCTGGCAAATAAGGTACTTCATGTATTCCTTTGGATTTGCACTTTGTACAGAAATTGACCAGATTGGGCTTGTGCACCTAGAAAGAAGGAAGATTAATGCTTCCATGACCTCATCAGACTCAGAACACCTAATTCCCTATTATATTGATATCTAATTACATCCTCAGTGTTAATGGTATATGACATTTTAGCTGGCCGGGAGGCACTTTAAATGTCTATTAAGTTTCCATGCAACATACAAATATTTTTTTTAATTTGTAGATGACCTGCAACATGCTGGGCACGTTACAGAGATGGGAAAGACGAGGTCTCTGCTCACTGTCAGAGTACACAAACAGAGGGCAATGGGAGAGAGACAAAATAAAATGTCATCAGTGAGCAACAAGTGGGACACTCATCACGGTGTCCTGCCATTTTGTCTCTAGTTGGAGAATTAGATTGTCCCGTGTCTTCCCCTCTTGCTCCAAACTGCAGCTCAGACCCATAACTGGTGTCATAGCTGTCTGGGGTTTGTCGTTATTCACAAGGAAACTAAGAACAACACAACGTACATTGAAAAGCAAGAAAGTTTTGCTTCTGGGCATCAGTTTTTCAGAGACTTAGTTGGGCTCTACCTTCCAGCAATTTTATTGTTTCAGTGATGTGATGTCTGCGCCTGCCTTTTCTCTGAGATGCTGGAAAACTAAAATTTTCAAACTTTTCTATTTCAGACTCTTTTCTCTTACTGGCTGATCATTTTCTTGATCATTCAAAATGGGTGCCTTTGCAGTTAACACTAAGTTCTGTCCCCACCCAGCAAGAGGGGGGTAGTGCATAACATTCTGAAGCATCACACCACTTTTCCTTGAAAAACTGAGCCCGTTAGCTTGCAGATACATTCTGTGACTTTGATCCATTCCTCCCTACTAAGGATCCCAATTTGATGTAATTAATAGTATTTCTGATAAACACATCACCTCAGTACTCGGACACTTGGGAGTCTAATGCTTTTGTTACATGTTTGACACTCTGAAAGGCTGTTGTGTTTTCCAGAATTGCACTTTCAGCTTTTTTCTTCTCTCTCACACAGTGTCACAGCCCTGGATTTTGACCCCTTGTTTTGCTCCACTTGTAGTTTCTTCCCATCTAGTTTACCCAGTAGTCAGGAGAATGCTCCTGCTTTCACCTAGTGTAAGGGCAAAAAATCCCTGTATTCCATTAGCAAGTCTCTGTACCAGCCAGGAGGAGTTGCACAGGATGGTGCAAATGTCTTGGTTCTCTTTCTAGGACAAATAGAAAAAAAATAGTACTTTTGCATTTTAGGAATACTTTTCCATCTAATGGCCTCTTTAAGGAATTATTCACCTTTCTATCCAGGAAATAGATCAAAAATAGAAGATCTATGAGATTTCCAATGATTTTGGTGGTTTTCATAATGGATGTAAGAATTTTTATTATCATTTTAACCTGATTATGTCTTTTAATGATTTCAAATCCATTCATGATTACTGCATGTCACAGCCCATGGCCCATCCCTGATGGGTGACAGCTGGTAGTATTATACATAGTTCAGAATGTGAGGCACACTAGGGTTGTTTTAAAGCCAAAAACATGGTTTGGGGGAAAGATGTATTAGTTATCCAACATCATTCAATTCAAAATGATGATAAACTGTTTTTAAAAATAGATCGTGTTAAAGAAAAATAGAAGTTGTGATGAAAAAGGTGGTGTTGATAAACTGCAGAGTCAACTTTTGACCACACTTTGGGTCGTTATGAAATATAGTCAAGAAACCATATAACTCCGGTTATCTGAAGAAGTGGGTTGTGCCCACGAAAGCTCATGATCCCATCTACATGTTTTGTTAGTCTATAAAGTGCTGCCAGACCATTTGTTGTTTTTTTCTGTACAGACTAACTCGGCTACCCCCTGAAGCAAATAACCAATGTTAGTCAGGTTTATTAATATGGTACTGGAAAAAGGTTCAATATGATCCCAGTCTCTGAGGAGCCACCCCATCCAGCAATGTTATATTTACCTTACACGGAAGCTCTGCTCCCCCCAAATTACATATTTCAGATGCTCTTATCTATGTGATGATTTGACAAGTTACTGCTCTGTTTACACATTACTAAAATTCAACCCATCCATTTGTCCCAGTTTCCTAACTTGTTCTGTTCCTTATGTTTATTTTGGAAACAAGCATTCCAGGTATTGGTCTGTGTAGGTACTGTGCTAGCTTGTGCTGAGCCCTAGGATGAATTTATCTTAATTTTGACAAGTTTCCTATCGTTTATGCCAAATGTTTACTTCAGCAAATGCCAGGAGTTATGGGATACTTGTAATAAGTGAACTGGATTATGGGATAAGCCTGTGTAGGCTACTTCACTGGTATAGGTTTCATGTTATGGGGCTTAGTGTGTACTGACATATATTTACATACATTGCTATATTATTGAAATATATTTGTGTGCTAGCTCTGTATTAGTCTATAGAGCTAAAGAAAACCATATTTGAGAATATGAATTAGAGAGAGATGTGGCTACTAATGTGAAAAGTTCTTCTACAGAAACAAGTTGCAGGCATGTAGTCATCTGCGTATTGCCCATAATAGTGTTTTCAGACTCATAATGAGTATTTCTAATGATGTAACAGTTATATATGTCTGTACATTTACACTGCACTTTAAAGAATTCACCCTAGAATCCCTGTTCCAAAGGGATTACAGGCCTGCCAGGACCAGGGCTGGTCACGCTGAGCGAGTAACTAGTCAGCTGTGGGCAGGTAAGGGAGCTCAGCGCATTTCAGGGCTGCACTGTACATTTTTGGATTTCTGCGCTCATGTAGCAACTCGCTGTCTCTGGCAGCCCCATTTGACTAGGGAACGCAGCAAAACATCTTCACTGAAAAGATAGTAGACACCATGCAATGCGCTCATATGTTCATGGGAAAACGGCTTATTGCTGCTAGCCTGAATGGGTAATTTTACTGTCTTGACCCTGCCATACAGTAGGTGGGATTCCCTGCTACATCAATGGTTATTCCACAATGACAGCTTGTCTTGGAGTAGCACCCAAGCTATGTCCCATCTCCGCACATGCAGGTAGGAAGCTGTTCTGTCTGGCAAGAATGTTCCCTGAAATGGCAGCAGCCTGTAGCTGGCTGTGTGCTGGGCGGTTGGGATTAGCCTAATAAAGTTTGCATCTCCTAGTGCTGCTAAGTCATCAGTAAGATGATGGCCAGCGTGCAGGAATGAGATGCAGCAGCTGATGTGTTCATCAGGTGGGCTTTGCTTACCCCGTTTGGGGAACTGCCTGTTGCCCCAAGGCACAAAACAGCCCTTATCCCCTGCGTGCTTCCCGGGACCTGTCACAAATACTGAGAGCTCGTTCTCAGCCACACTTTGTCTCGTGCCTGTTGCTTACTTTCCAACCATCTGGTGCTCTTCAGAGGGAACACGGGAGATAAACCAAGTGAATTGTTTCCTGGGCTGTTAAGGCTGGTCATTTGCTTTAGGTGAGTGAGAAATATGATTCCATTTGACCCAGAACCATGGGGAAAAAACCATACTGTAAGCCAAATGCAGGACAATGTAGCACTTTAAAGACTAACAAGATGGTTTATTAGATGATGAGCTTTCGTGGGCCAGACCCACTTCCTCAGATCAAATAGTGGAAGAAAGTAGTCACAACCATATATACCAAAGGATACAATTTACTGTAAGCCAGTGACTGTCCACAAGTGGAAAACTGGAGCAGCTGCCAAAAGAGATCAAGTTGCTTTCACATCAAAGGAAACCACTGCCTTGTCCCCCCCCCCCTCCCCCACACACAGCAGCAGGCTCCTTTAAGGTGCTCTGTAGACATCAAGGCACATCATGGGCCTCCTAAGAGAAAAGACCACATGCATGGAATAACACAGGACCAGGGATTCTAAGAATTTCATTCAGCCCCTTCTACGATGACCCTCGGCATGCACTGATGGGCTAGTGAGCTGAACAGGCTTTTCAAATCGCTCCGTGGGTTAAAAAGCAGGGATAGTGTTCGGGCTAGCCCTCGGCACTGCTTTTTGCAGACAGCAAGGTATGTGGTGGCTAGAAAAGGAGACGCTCTGAGCTTACCAATGCACCCCTTCACATTGCTAGTCTGGGGGACGTTTCTTCCTGAAACGGTGATGCTGGAGGTGTTATGTGTGCATGGCCTATGGGTGCTGTTCCCAGCTCTGGCACTGAGCTTCCAGGTAACCTTGGGCAACTCACTCTGGTACTCTGTACCTTTGGTTTTGTTCCCACCCTTTGTCTGTCTTTTCTGTGTAGATTGAAAGGTGCTTGGGGGAGGCTCCGTCTCTCCCTCTGTGTGTGTGCGTACAGGAACTAGTACAATGAGGTTTCACTCTAGGGCCATCACACCAATAATAAATAATGTTGTGATGTCAGATAATACTGTGGCATGATGGGGAGACCACTGGCTGGACTTAGGAGACCTGGCTTCTGTTCTCAGCTCTGATCCTGTCAGCTGAACTAGGGAAAGTTGCTTCATCGTTCTAGGCCTCAGCGTCACCATCTAGAGAAGTGAGAGGAGGATTCAGCCCTCCTTTTGGAAGCACTTTGAGACCAGCTGATAAAAAGCGCTACAGAGCAGCAAGCTAGTAATTGTTCTAACGGGAGCCCAGTCCTCCTCCACGGAAAT